GCTGTATCTGTTGCTGTATCTGTTGCTGTGTCTGTGGTTGTGTCTGTGGTTGTGTCTGTGGTTGTGTCTGTGGTTGTGTCTGTGGTTGTTACCGTGGTTGTTACTGTGGTCGTCGCAGAAACCTCATCAACAGTGGTTGTAATACGCAGGGTGGTTGTTGGAGGCATCACAGTAGGCCAACTTGTGAGACAACTGTCCGTTACTGAAGATAGGCACGAGGATGTAAAGCTTGAGATATGACATGGTGAAGACGTGCTAGTGGTAGTGGAAGTAGAGGTCAGACAAAGACTTGAAAATGAATTATCGCCATACCACCGCGGAGCGTGCTGTGTTGGTATAATTGGCATAGTTATTGCAGCCCAAAACCTATGGTTTCGGCCTTTTCCATATTTTGCGGAGTTAAATAAATATGGACAGATAACTGATCTTCTAGAATGATGGCAGGCCTTATGGCAGATGAGACTTCATGTAAGGTGGGACAAAAGAGCTTGAATAGCCATCTCTTTAGCTTAGTAACTTCTGCTGTAACCCAGTATTGTCATCTCGCGATAATCAGCAAATGAACATTCAATCAGTGGATCCAGGGTCAGCTCAAGGGTGCAGTTGCGCCTAGCGGCCGAATGCGGATATCTTAAAAATGATTCAGATGCGCCTTCCTTTTGATTATGAACTTAATGTTTGGTTCACATTATTAGACTATAAAGTTTACTAGAACACAAGGATAAAGTCTATGATGCTATACTTTTCCTTGGCATCAACCGTCATTGCATTTAAAATCATATTAAATGTGTGGGGTTTCTTAGCTTCAGAACTTGACGGAGTTAAATAGTTAATATTTCTTATCTCATTAGAAAGAATGGATCAAGATGCAGCTGCAATTAAATCTTTCAACAATTTCCGGGAGGTAATTTCTAAGTTATGTCAGGGTAATAAGGACCAAGAGAGGAGAGTTTCAGACTCTAACTTCGGAAAGTTGATTGAAAGCTGGGCTAATTTCATGGAAACCGCTCAACCTTTGATTCCTGATGGACTCAATCACAACAATGCCGTAAGGGCTAGGGTTATCAAGGTATTGTATATCTGTGCGGAGTCGGGAGATTGGCTGTCCTCATATAGGAGAGGATTTCGCCCCATGAAAGTTTTTGGTCGTTCTTGCAATCCATTTCAGTTCTGGCTGGATGCCAGATACGATGCGTTTCAGCCCAGGTACCAGGCCTTGATTAATGAGGTCCAGGACTTGGTAAGAAGTCTAGAGGTAAGGACCGCCTTATTCATGGTAATCCTCACTAACATACTAACAATCTCAAGAAAGAAGCCGATTACCCCGATATAATGGCCCTGCCCTTAGCAAAAGCGAAGAAGTTCCGTAATCGCAATCAAAGTAAGCCTTCTGAGGCATACTGATATTGCCTATGCCCACTAATCAATTTCTTTTAGCATTGAGCTCCGTCACTGCTCGGCTGAATCGCGTCGTGAAAAAGCTACGGTCGTCGCTGTGATCTATTAAAAAAATGCAGCGTCATTTGGTGATCTAGGGGGCTCCCACCGCCATGCCCAGTCAATTGGGTATGGTCACTACCTATAAATGGTGTATGTAGATAACGGCACGATCGTGGGGCTTTATTGATTGGGAAATGGCTGGATTCTTTGGCTGGAAGACGGCCGGCGAAGTTCATCGAAAGATTCGGACTCCTCAAAGGGAACATTTCGTGAATGGCCCCTTTGAGCGAAGAGAAGCTTCAGGATAATATGTTTTGGAATGATCTTACGACTGGGATTCCTGATGTCAAGACTAGCAGATGTCGTCCCAAATCAATTGAGGGAAATAACCATGGGTGACTGTGCTTTGATAATCTGGTCGACCAACTAGTGTCTCATGCCTGAGTCATGCCCTCAGCGCATAAATCGTCCTTGTCTTAAGTAGGCAGTCCAGTCCTCAACCAGTAAGTACCTATAACTTCACAGCACATCCCTGATCTTATTGGCCTACTACTATTATCTAAGACGCGAACATGGGTAGTTGACTAGCAGCTCTTAATCCATACAGCTTCATGTTTCAAAACGTGCAATAAACTTTCTGGTACTAAAGACAGCCGTCATGAAGGCCTGGATACTTGACTGGTTGATTTGGTTGATATCAGATAAAACCAATGCGGCACATCTGGACAGCAGCATCATGAGCCAATCTGAATCCACAGATCATGCCGCGGCTATAGTCTCGCTCTTCGATCTGTCGCAAATAGCATGGTTGCAATTAAGCACATAAGCGTGGTCTCTTATCGACAATGCGACACACGTTTGGAAGCTCGAGTCCCCAGCAACCGCGCAGGAGGACGAGGCAATGTTGAGAATCGTCGTGTCGCAATGCGAATTTTGTGGAAATGAGGCGCCCGGGACAGGGATTACTTTCGATGTCCAGTCAGGCTATTTTGGCGAGTACATTGTTTTAGTTGGAGCTTCCTTCTGGCGGCTCTGGCCCTACACATTCGGTTATGACCCTTAGCATACAGATCCTATCCGATGATGAGTATCTTCTTTTTGATGGTCATGGGAAAAGGAACGAGGTCGACTTCCCTCTAAGGCGCAGACACACTTCATATGTAGGGTTAGGGTCACTCCCCAATACTCAGCTCAACAGAGCAGAGCTTTTTTTTTTTTTTTTTTTTTTTTTTTTTTTTTTTTTTTTTTTTTTTTTTTTTT